TGTTCCGGGCACGTCCCACCGGGAGGAGGCCCCGGGGAAGAACCAGGACACGCTGGAGGGCCTGGGAGCGCCTTCGGGTCCCCCCGGACGAGCTGGAGGAGGTGTGTGTGGATAGGGAAGTCTGGGCGTCTCTGCTTAGACTGCTGCCCCCGCGACCCGGCAACGGATGAAGCGGAAGAAGATGGAATGGAATGGAATGTTTTGTGTATGTGAAAAATATTCTTTAAAAGTAATAAGATATTTCAACAATTTGTGTTGAACAATCTCTCCTACAAGCTAATTTTAGTTTAGTTTATTTTTTGTGCATTATTCTATTGTTCTTACTCTGCTTTCAAAAATACATGTACCTCCGTTTTATTCTGTTGACAAAACTCTTAACATACCCTCCTGAATGGCAACTTCTGTTCTGTTTACATTCTGGTTTCCTTTAAAAATCTTTCACATATTTTTGCTTAAACATTATTTGCAGCAGTATTGAATGTATTGTATCTATTGTATTTCTTTTTTTCTTAACTTGAAAGTCCCCAAACATAATTTCAAGCTTCAAATGGTTCCTGCAGAAGTGGTTTAGACAGGGCCAATGACCAAAGTGCACGGAAGGAAACATCTGCTAAACAAAAGCAGTGGCTACTGTTCCGATTTGCATGATTCTTTCTGCAACGTGCGGCTAAAACAAATGGAAAAGTCCAACCGTTCCTCACCCATCCCTCTCCCCCTGCCCCATGCTGAGGTTTCCATTCTAACAGTGACATTTCGTTCCCCTGTGTAGTTCAGTCTTCCCGGCTTGGTCAGCAGTCCTGCCAGTGGACGAGTTTCCACCGTGCGCCATTTAGGCCTACCAGCTGCTTTTCCACTTCCACAGTTGACTTTGGAGTTTTTTTGGTGTGCACACAGAAGACCCCGGAAAGACCTCACAAGCTTTACAGCACTAAAATAGAGGTTTGCGGCTTCTAGATTGAGATCCTTGTGTGTAATAAGGGTACTTGGCATTATGAATGTGCACATGCTGGCTGATATTTCATTTGGGCGTGTGTAGATTCATGTGGTGGGCCGTGGTCTGCAGATAATTCACCTATGTTATAATTTAGGGATGTGGTGCATATAAAGACAAATTGTTTTCCACAAAAAGATTGGCCCTATATCAATTTTTTAAAATAAATTGACCAAGTGCATTCCTTTTCATATTTATTGAACAGTATACGAAGACTATATAGAATAAATTGTTGGATTGATGGTACTTGTTGATGTTTTCTCTCAAATGTGACAGACATTTTTCAATATTATGTGTTCAACGACCAATAGTGTTCAACAACCAACAATGTAAGTCAGATTCATGTTAGTTCTGAGCTACTTCTGGTCTGGAGAAACGAGATAGTAGAAGGACATGCAAGTTATACATCCATGATGAGGACTTTGTGACAAAGACAAATGCATGTTTCCAGCTTCCAATGCCCTTTTTGATATGTGTATATTATGTAAGTAAGTCAGTCATCTTTATTTATATAGCGTCTTTCACAGAGTCACTGCGCCTTACAATTGTTTTGGGCATTTTTATCCCACTCCACATAGAGAGAATACGCAGCCAATCAGTCTGCGATCTGATTGGCTGAGTGAGGGTGGTCATTTATTGTTTTTACTTTTCTGTCAGTAAAAGCTGATTGTCAGATGCTATTTATATATAGTACATGCGTGTGAATACTAGTGGTAGAATCAAGAAAATTCATCTCGTTGACATTAGAATTGGCTTGCAAGTTATGCGTACCCCAACTTTTCCAAAAATTACAAAACAAGATTAACCCCGTTACACCCTTGGTTACAAATATGCCACATAAAGCTCACAAGTAATGGCAAAAGAAGTATGATTTTTTTGGTTAAAAAATATTGACTAATGTATGTGTACACCAGAGCATAAAGATGCAAAAATGCTGCATTGCCAAATTTGGTTATTGAATTCTGCCAAAATAGCACAGATAATTTCTTTCAAGAAATATTTTTCTATGTCTGGGTTTTATGGGGTTAAATCTTATTTTCTCTTATTGTGGTGAATCATGATAATGTCAGTGAAGTAAACTCATCCTTACTTCTCTGTTCCTTGGCGAACCCTGCGCCTGGCTGGAACTTTCTTGTATTGTCCATATGGAATGGAGTTCATGCGGTGCAGGATGGGATAGTGAACGACTCTCTGCAGATTGCTTTCATGTGCTTGGATCTGAAATCCATAGACATAAAACTCTATCTACATGAGACCATTTACTTTAATGTGACCTCCTGCTGCCTCAATCTCCTGCAGATAAGTCATTTCTTTGCTTTAGGATTAACATAGTGTAATGGGATATACAGTCGTTCCCATATAGCCACATGTAGCTTCAGAGAGTGGATCAAGCTGAAACCTGATTTAGATCTTCACACAAACACATGTTAAAATATATTTAGGCTGACATATATAGAGTAAGAACAATCAAAGCCAGGCCGACCTTGTTTAGGTGCAGGAAAAATGAGTGAGGTAAAGGTATTAAGTGACTGTTTTGAGTTGAATTGGATCTGCATTTTAAAAAATGTACTTGGATGGCTGAAGGGGCCGCTACATTGATATCATATAGATTTGGACATACGGATATGTGAGAGAGGACGATAATGTGTTTTTAACCTGGATTTGAACATTGTCATAGTTGAGGCCTGTCTCACATTTTCAGGAAGACTGTTCTTGATTTTAGCTAAAACTGAAACCGCTTCCATCATCTTTTTCCTGCACAGCTCCTTCTGTGCCATTGTCATCTTCTTCCTTTTCCTCTTCTTCCTCCTTTTTTGTCTTTGTCCTTATTTTCTTCTTAAGCATGTGAGAGCTAAAAACTACTTCCAATCAAAATTATCTTTAACTTTGAGTTGCTAGAGATGGGCCAAAAGCTTGATTTGGTCATTTTCTGCTCAAATGTTGTCAGTAAAATGTAATCAATCCAATAAAGGTTGGACTTCGGTAAATGTATCTAATTCAATTTCCCAGTCATAGTCTGTTACTTAACCATTATATCTGTTGATGGAGTAAATCTATTGTATTCCATCTTACCTTAAATTTATTTAGAGACTTTTTTCTGAGCCAGATGTTGGACTACAAAACAAGAAGAGAGTCCATATTAGGCAGAAGCATAGGGTTTCATAATAAACCATTAGGCATCTGAACAAATATTGCTGAAGTGCAGATGGGACGTAGAGGTTTCCGTTCCCTTTTTTCTGCTTTGATTTTTTTTTTTCTTCCCCGCTGTCGAGGTTCAGTTGTTGTCTTTTGAAACAAGTCCCCTTCTTTCATATGAGAAAACACACTCAACTGCCCTATAGCTTTCTGTGGGGTCAGTGTGTAGCTAAGGATTATTGTGTTCTGTGTTGTGTTCTATAGAAAATATATATAAGAAATCTTTGAGACAAACTTGCTGTAACGTCGGTTTTACATATATTCTCCCATGTGTTTTGCTTCAGTAATTATGTTTTATTTAATAGAAAAATATTATACATTCTGAAGCAACAGTACTGATCTTTCTGGAATGAAAATTCACCTTCATTTTTCTATGGACATTTTACTCTGTTTAAAGATGCATGTTATACCATACAGTCAAGGGAACACCATGTACAGTATGTGTACCTCCATAGGACACGTATGAGTCAGGGGTGTGAAGATGTAAAACATCTGGAAACATCACTCCAAAAAGTGATGAAAAATAAGTACAAAATTGTTAAAATTTGGCAAAATGTATCTTAATTTGAGCATATTTTGACAAACAAGATTTGCCAAAAGAACAAACGAATTGATCTTATTTTAAAAAGATAAGAGAAATTGTCTCCCAACTGTTCATGAAATAGTTTTAGTGGCCTGCATCGATCGCATGTCCGTGGTTTGTTTAGAAAACAACCGAGATGAGGGGGCCTTCCTCCTGTCCCACACATGGAAACCCCTCCCCGGTCAGTCTAAGCAACCTCAGGTCAGGTCCATCAGGCTGACCGAGCCTACTCACGAGATAACACTAGCTGATAAATGTTTCCAAGCCTGAAGAGGAACTGAATATAATACTTGTCCAACTTGTCCAACTTGTCCTTCAAAAGAACCACAAAAACATTATAACTCAATAAGACAAAATGAACCTTTTTGAATCAACATGGAAACACATGGAAAATTGGGTCTTGAAACTTTCCTCAAACCTGACTAGTTGTTGTCTCTCTCTCTGCCTGTTTCAATCAAAAAATGGTTCCTGTGGCTAATGTTTTGGTACGGACCTATCTTCAGGTTATTTCTTCGTATTGTTGTTGACTTGACTTGAAGCTCTGGAACTCTTTTGTCCATAACTTAAACTGAACTTGGACTAGCTGGTTTAAAACACAAACTGAAGCGACTTCTTTAAACAAGCCAGTTGTGTGACCATCTTTGACTTGAAGGACACCTGTCTTTTGTATAAGGTGACTAAAATCACAATAAAAAACATTGTTACATAGTTTTCACATGTTGATTGTGTATCCTAGTCCATTCCAAATACTGTATATACATGTTTAAAAAGTTGCTTCTTCACAGAAGTTGGAATATACTGTAATGAGTATATTGCAAAATGCATTTTATTGTTTTTACCACCAACACTTTTTTTAAGCACAGACATAAATTCCCTCACCACTCCATTCACCCTCTTAAGTGTTGGTCACATAAAACCTCTTTGTAAAATGCATTCCTCCAGCGCAGCCCTGTGCGACTGCGTGTGACAGCATAATGACTTAAGCACAGTTCTCTCGCTGCCTGGACACTGACGTCGTGCCCCGATCGCCTCCTCAGTGGAACTCCATGCGTCTCTGTTTGTAACCTGACGCCTCACAGAGAGAGAGAGAGAGAGAGAAAGAACCATAGTCAAAAGCACAGACAGAGAAATCCGAGGGAGGGAGTAAGGGGGTAGGGGAGGACTCGCAGTGGAGTAGGAAACGTGATGTCAGCTGAGTTCAGAAAGTAAACAGACTTTGGAGACAGCAGCATGCGGTCGAGGCAGCTGGAGGAAGCCCGAGGGGATGCAGGTTCTTCAGTGTCCCGGACTGCGAGAATGGGCTTGAGCAGGGTGATCCTTGGCAATGGGCGCTGGCTGATCTTCATCATCTTCATCACTTCTGTGTGTCCTGGGAATGCATGGCCCTATGGTAAGAGGAAAGACAGTCACACTCACACACAAGTTCATGTTCTTTGTTCTCAAAATACCGGCATCAGCAATCTCTTCATCCTTTGCTTTGGCTTGGCTGTTCCTAGCATGACACATACAGTAACATAAGTTGTGTGTGACAATAAGTTTTAAAAGATTGTACTAATTGAAAAAACAACACACATTTTAGTTGAATTTTCATAGAGTATTAAACAGATTTGTTTTTGACAAAGATTTACTTTTGTATATTTGTCTTTGCTACATGCTTACAATCTATCATGTTGTTATACGTTGATATATAGTTGTGTGTTTTTAAGATGTCAGAGAAAGCCATCAAACAAATCCCTTTACAAACCTAAGATAAATTGTAGTATTTCTTTATTTTTTATGCAAATGGCAGTCTCATGACCTTGTGTAGGTCATGGCCCAGTGTTGAGGACCCACAGAATCCGATTAAGATACTACTCCTGCTGAGAGTAACACAATTACAGTTACAACATACAACTATCAAGGAGGATTCTTTTTAATATCCACAGAGACTCAACCAAACAGAAACACATTCCTTGAAGTCGTCCACTACATCGTTTTTTGGGATTGCTAAAACTTGGCACACATTTTCTTTTGCGTCCTGCCGTGTGTCCAAATGTCTCTATTTTGCTTTCTTCTGTTTACCCTTTTTAACCTAGCACTTGAACTCCTGCAGGAAGTTTGAATCACTTAGACAGTCCTAATGTGAATACCATGCATGCATCCCAGAGAATCCCGGGCAAACTTTTTTTTCCTTTCATTCTTTTGCCCTCACGGTGCCTGTAAAGCTATACGTTCTATTAGCCTGCAGCTGGTACATGGGATGACCGCGGTGGATTTCATTTGTAAGTCCATAGAAGCCTCTCAACTGCTTCTGCTTGTTCTCATCCGAGTGACTCCCGATTAAGTTCGAGCTTAATCAACTGATGAAAGATGTCCACTGTTGAGCAAGCAAGATATATCTAGTCCCAGAGCTGTACCCACGGTAGACAGAACATTGGTTATATGTAACAACAGAGAGTGGGTTTGTGGGCGGTTGCAATGTTTATTCTGTGATTACATGCACCTCGACAAATCCTCAATATTGTCCTAGTGTAACCGCACTTTGAAAACGCTTCATCAGCTGAAATAGAAGGAGCTGGAATTTCTCTTAGTCAGACTTAAACAGCTGGATAACATGATTTAAGGCCAAACTGGTAAATAGCCAAGTCATTCTGCAATCTTGTACTGTAAAACGGTTAGCAAGACATTGAAGAGACATTGTGATGATTGTTAATCTGGGCACAAATACATATCATTTGTTTTATTTAAAGACAGACATATAGGTTACGTTCATGAAGAAACATTTCTAAATATTTTCCCATATCATTATTTTATAGTGATTAGATTCACAAACCCGTCATGTTTTTGTTTTATGCCTTTCTATATCCACCAAACTGTATGGATGAACATTGCTCACCCGCTAGCTCAATGAAGCCAAATATGGAAGTGCTTATGGAGAAAGTTTACCTCCAACTCACTCTAGCTCCTTGACTTCTCGCTCAGTAAACATTTGTGTCACATTTTCTCACTCTCATCGATTGCAGTGTTTTCTTTGTAAATCCAAATTTGAACCATATGATTGACCAATCCTAGCGCTTCATTGGCGGTAGTGGGGAAATGCAGCCAGCGAAAGTTCAATTTGGTAGACGTTAACCAAATTTACCCCCTCCAGGCCGGCTCTCATCCCCAGCCTATCGCTCAGCAGACGCCCCCTTCCAATCATCTGTACCGACTCGCAGCCGCATAAAAACGGAGCAACGCCCACTACCGGCCTCCTGAAGCCTCGCAAGCTCCTGCAGCCTCGCAAAGAATCGTTCTGGAGGAATCGCTTTTGTCTACTCACGCTTACTCGTGCGTGTCCCTGCTGCCCTCTGTCTTGCTGCGTGTGGTCTGCTCCTCCTGTGGCTGCACCTGCTGCGGGTCTCGTGCTGTGGTCCGTGGGTCTTTGCCGCTCTCCTCCTTTGCGGGCTCTTTCCGCGGGTTTGCCGCTGTTGTCTCATCGCGGCCTGCTGCTGCATACGGCCGGTCTAGCCCGGTGCGGTGGGAGCCGTGCGCATCCCTGCCTCCTTGTGCCGGTACGGTGTGGTCCCGTCGTGTTGTCCCTTGTCTTCTGGCGCTGTGGGTAAGTATGAGATCCGCGGACGGTTTATTCCCCTCGCTTTGTACTGCAGGCTCAGTTGGCCCCGTGCTGGTGGGCAGGCTTCAGTTTAAAGCCCTCGCATTGGTCTGCAGGCTCTCTTTAACCAAGCTCCGTTAAATCTTCACTCTGACTGCAAGCTCCGTTTAATCCCTCACATTGGACTGCAAGACCTCAGTTTAATCCCTCTCATTGGACCGCATGCTCTCAGTTTTAATCCCTCACTTTGGCCTGCAGGCTCTGTTTAAATCCCTCTCTGGACTGCAAGCGCTGTTTAAATCCCTCACATTGGACCGCATGCTCTCAGTTTTAATCCCTCACTTTGGCCTGCAGGCTCTGTTTAAATCCCTCCCTGGACTACGAGCTCTGTTTAAATCCCTCTCTTTGGACTGCAAGCGCTGTTTAAATCTCTCTCGGACTGCGGCTCCCAAAATGAATCCCTTACATTGGTCTGTGAGCTCTCAGGTTAATCCCTCACGGAACTGTTATATCTGGAAATGCCTATATCTGGAAATGCCTATATCTAGAAATGTATATCGGAACTACTTATATCTGGAACTGTTGTACCGTATCTGGAACTGCTTCATATGGAACTGCTTATATATGGAACCGCTATATTGGAACTGCTCATATGGTACGGTTATACCTGGAACTGTTATGCAGTACATGGAACTGCATATATGGTACTGCCTATATCTGGAACGCTATATTTTAAAAATAAATAAATGAATAAATAAATACATATAAATAAACATATATAAATAATTATAAATAAATATAAATAAATATAAATAAATATAAATAAACATAAATAAATATAAATAAATATAAATAAATTTAAATAAATAAATGAATAAAAAAAAAAAAAAAAAAAAAAAAGTTTAAACTCCTCACTTGGACTGCGGGCTCAGTTAATCCCTCACTTGGACCGTAAAACTGTTAAATCACTTGGACCGTAAAAAAAAAAAAAAAAAACCTGTTGAAATCCCTCACACTGAACAGCTACAACAACATTCTACTGACGTGGCTTTGATACGGGATCATTGCTGTTATTATCTACGGACGCTGCAGCTGCTGCTGCTGCTACTGCTGCTGCTGCTTCATACGGCTACTACTGCTGCTGCTGCTGCTCCATTTGCTACTGCGCTACTACTGCTGCTTCATTTACTTGCCATCTCTCTTCACTTGCATCTCTTTTACTGAAACACTGATCAGCTACGACAACATTCTACTGCTGTGGCTTGATACAGGATTATTACTGTAATCTCTAAGGATGCTGCTGCTGCTGCTGCTGCTGCTGCTGCCGCGGCTTGATACAGGTTATCGCTGTTATTATCTGAGGTACTGCTGCTGCCGCTGCTGCTACCGCTACTGCTGCAACCCACTCTCTCAGAAGCTTATCCTGTTTCTAATGGATGCTGCCCGGCTGAGTATGCCGGGTCGCGCTGGCCTCGTACCTATGCTCCCAGGGTCGCTTCGGCGGTCATGCTTCATCTCTCTACCTCATCTTCTGATTCTATCAGATGCAGCTGGCCGAGTAGCTGCGCTGAGCCGTCAATCGGACTCCTAATCAAAGGCATCCATACCTGTATTCTTCACTCTTCTGATCGCAGGCTCCCCATCATGCTGCCCATCCTGCAGCGGCACTGAACTCCGGCTCATCTTCCAAGTACATGTCTGCCCTCCTCGCAGCATCTTCCTGCTCGCCTTCTATGACTTCTCTGCATAAGCGTCCACTACTGCTCGCTCAACCTTCATGCGGTCCGAGACGCGGCTTCCCGACCATCCTACTATCCTGATTATCTACTCTCCAACCCAAGATTCTAAGCGTAAGGGCGCCTGCAACATCAATGGCCCTCTCCGACATGTCTCTGCCCTTACAGGTCTCCGCTCTACACGGACGTGCCCCTTCCGTGGGTTTTGGGGGATTCTTCCAGGACCATTGGGTTGCCGGGCCGTGGCCGCTACTTCCACCGGAGCATCTCCTCTGCCCTACATGAGATATTCCCAGTGGTCGTGGCTGCGCGCCGTGGAATCACACGTGGCAGAGAAAGAGGATCTCTGTCATGCGCGATAATCTCGACGTAGTGGAAGCATCACACAAAGGTCGCTCCTTTCACCCAACATAATGTCCCCTGACCCTTTCAACCTTCATCTCAAACATTCAAAGACCAAGGCGCCTGCAACATAATAATAGCTCGCTCCGACACATCTCTCTCCAGACAACCTTCCCATGACAGCAACCTGGTTCAGAGCTCAACTAAGATCCCTACTGCTCCTCTGCAATTTGTCTCCCCAGCTCCATACAGCCCACTCCTTCAGGATAGGCGCTGCCACGCGCGCGGCCTCGCTGGGGCTCCCCCACCTCTCCAACAGCTGGGGTGCTGGTCCTCTTCGGCTTTCTCCGCCTACATCAGCCCAGACGCGTCCGCCATCCTGGCTGCACAACGCCTACTGGCTTCCTCGCAAGCTCCCAGCAAAGCAATACGAAGCAAAGTAAGTGAAGCAATAAGATTCTGGTGGCGGCACGCACTTCTCAAACACTCTCCGCTGCCGCAGCGTCTGACGGAACGTGATGCGAACGCTCACGTTCCCAGCGCGCAAAAATAACCCATGATGCATTACACTCGCCTCCGCTCTCGGAAAGGAGATCTCAACGGACCGTTATTTTTCACCCCCGATCCCCTCCCAACGTCATCCAACGGGTTCAGAGCCCAACTAAAGTCCGTACTGCTGCTTTGTAACCTGTCTCCCCATCTCTACGCAGCTCACTCCTTCCGGATAGGCGCCGCCAG